CTAGTCTTCGACAGCTGTTCTCTCTATTTCAAATCTATCTCAATTTCTGTCTTGTCCTCGCAACTAACATCACTAAGTTGTCCTGTCAGCCCTGATCTCATCCCTTCTAGTCCACTGCAGTAGTCCTCTCATATAGCTCATGTCACCATCTCTTTCCACCTCTAAACCATGCTCATATTTTTGTCTGCTATCTTTCTAAAAGATGGATTTAATCATCATCTCCCTATAAATCCAAACCCTTAGCAAGGCAGTAAGCCTATACTCTAGACCTGCACTGTCCAATATGGTAGCCATCTGTGTCCTGCGTGCTACGGTGCCTGACACATAGTGGTCACTCACTTACTCCTCTTTCTTTCCCTTAAGACTTACCCTTACTGGAAGGTTAAGCAGGAAGAAACTATAAATGCTCATTTCATAACTCAATATAAAAGCATAATGGCACAAAACTAAAAATAGAACCACCACATGATCCAGTAATTCCACTCCTGGTTATATATCTGAAGAAATCGAAAACACTAATTCAAAAAGATACATGCACCCCCAATGTTCATAGCAGCATTATTTACAATAGTCAAGATATGAAACCAACCTAAGTGTTCATCAATAGATGAGCAGGTAGAGAAGATGTGGCATACATACACATACACACACACACACACACACACACAAATATTAGCCATAAAAAAGAATGAAATTCTGCTATTTGCAACGACATGGTTGGACCTAGAAGGTATTATGCTTAGTGGAATAAGTCAGACAAAGGCAAATACTGTATGTTATCACTTATATGTGCAATGTAAAAAATAAAACAAGTGAATGTATGTAACGAAACAGAAACGGACTCACAGATATAGAGAACAAACCAGTGGTTACCGGTCAGGAGAGGGAAGGGAAAAGGACAAGATAGGGGTAGGGGATTAAGAGATACAGACTTTTGATACTATGTATAAAATAAATAAGCTACAAGGGATACACTGTACAGCACAGGGAATATAGCCAATATTTTATAACAACTTTAAATGGTACATAATCTATAAAAATATTGAATCACTCACTACGTCATCCACCCGAAACTAATATAACGTTGTAAATCAACCACCATATACTTCAACGACAAAGAAAAGCATAATGGGAAACTCAATCGCATGATCCTTCCTTTCAGGTTCTGATTCAAGTGGCTCTCTTGAGAACAGACCCTTCCTGCCTCTGTTCACCCTCCTTTCCAAGATCACACTCAGTTCTTGTCTTTTAGAACCGCAGGGAGAGAGTCTGGCAAGAGCCACCGTTGTACCAGCTGATTTAAATTGAAATGTTTTCCCCAGATAAATGCGTGCTAAATAATACACCAGCTCTCCAGCCAAAGGGAAGTGACAGGCGCTCTGTAAATAAAGGCACTTAGTTGCTGGTAAAGAGCGGTAAAGTGGTTCTGAGCTGATGTATGCTGACCAGCAAGAAGTGGCTTCACCTGCTTTATATAATTGTCACTGCAGTCTCGCCTGCTGTATACTAAAACTGCATCTCATAGACCCAACTGTCACATCGGATATGCCGTCCGGCATGGGGTATATGCCACCTTTCTCTGTAACTGTTTTTGACAATCAGCCATCACATTTCAGATCTTTTCAGAAAGTATCTGGTCCAGAATCCCTAGGCTGGGCCAGTCCTGACACCGTGTGGGCTAGGGACAAGAGGTTTTGTGAGTCTCGGAGAGCAAATGACACGCAGTGGCAAGTGTCCGAACACAAATCCCAGTGCAGGCTCTACCTCCTCAAAGTTAAGACACATTTTCTTCTTTCATTTCATGTCAGAACAACTCGCCATAAGGTTGCGTGAACACTCTGGTGGCCCAAGAGTACACACATGTGTCCTGGGTCCACAGTTCTGTCCTGCTGTGTTCTGGAGAGATGGTAACATAGCTCTCGAGACAAAACAAGGGAATGGGTTTCCTAAGGACTACAGAATAAAGAGTGATGAAAGGTGGGGTGTCAGTGGCCAGAAATCTCTGTAGTTCCCTCTCATGGGGAAGTTAGATTTGTTCCCCGAAATGAAAACAGTAAGACGAAATCCATTTTTGTATTCTGTAGTTCCAATCCACTTGGAGTTTGGTCATGCCACATGCCCAGATGAAGGGTAACAGAAGTATTTGAGGACAGTGGGCGTTCCGGTGGGTCACAAGGGTCTCAAGGAGGGGAAGCAGCCGGGAATCTCAGCTCGCCCATCTGACCCCATGGACTGGGATGAACCTGAGGCGTGGGCTGTACAGTGAGCAGCCGGACGTGAACTTACAACGCTCACCCATCGGGGAGGAAGCAACCTCCTGCGTTGATGGCCACCACTGGACCACTGCTTTTTGGAAGGTCAGAGTGTCATCAGACGGGACTATTAGAAACCAAGGACAAGAGAGGAGCAGACAGAGTACGAAAACAATGGGAAATATGGACTCAGTGGGGCTACAGCTTTGACAGTCTCTCACTGAGAGCCAAACAGAATGCTTGCTGGCTGCTGGGGGATGCACACTCCACTCCACTCCAGTGCCAACCAGGAGTCTCTGCAAACCACCACCGGCCATAGGGCACATCCTCTGCCCCTTCTGGTGTGCATGTGTGCGTGTGTGTGTGTGTGTGTGTGTGTACTAAATAAGAGCCCTTTTTTCCCTTTTTTTTTGCAGGAAAAAATGAGTTCTCTTTTCATTTCTTCCTTCTCTCCCTCCAAGACCTACTACTCTTGCTTATTCCTGTGATAAAAACAGTAAAGAAGGCTTTTGAGAATCGATTAAGTATTTGAAGAGGGGAGGGGAAGCATTTTTTACCAGTTTGGCCATCAGAAGGATCTGACAGGCGGGGATAAGGTTTAAGAGAGTTGGAAGGAACACCTATGTCGGATGCATATGTGACTATATTATATGTTGAGATTCTAATCTAGGACCCTGAAAATCACAATTATTGAATTGCGAGGAAACAGGCATGCCGGGGAAAGGGAGTCTTTTCCTGACCCTCCACCCGCTATTCGGTTCCATCTCCACCTGCAGGGAGCACCTCCCCTGCTTCTGCTTCTTTCCATCCCCTCTGCTAGCTCCTGCCAGGAGACGAGGATCATCTAATGGGGATGGTCAGTGTGTTCACTGGACCCAGTGTTGTTAGCGTAAAGATTTATTGTGCCTTGAAGCAGTGCACACGAGTCACCTGGGGACGCTGTTAGGGTGCAGATTCTGACCCGGCAGGTCTGTGCGGCATGAGCGTCTGCATCTCCAACAGTCCCTGGGTGATGCCCATGCTGGGGTGTGGGTGGGAAGACACACAGTGAAGATCAACTACTTAGGGGCGGGAACCAAAAGCTAGCTTGCCTCTTCCCCCTCCAAGAAGGCCAGCTAACTCCTCCCATCCTTTGTCACCTCGGCTCGCTGAGCAGGTCGTGCAGGAGGCAGGAAAGAGTTAAGGCTCCTTTCTTAGGGCCTAGGCGCATTGCTCTGTCCTGTGGGCACCGCTGAGCAAATGGAGACCAAGATTTAGATCTGGGGGAGAGGCAGAGGAGGCTGGAGCGGAGATGTCAAAACCAAGCTTCAGGCTGTATCAGCCAGGGTTATGTCAAGAATAGAAACCACTCTATTCCAGGTACGGCGAAAATTAGAGGTTGACACAGCCACGGGCAGGGCTGGAGGAGCAAACGTCAAAGAGGCCACCATTAGCCATTTCACTTGCAGCACCAACGGGAAGGTTCTCCTGAACTTCACCAGAAGGTGCTGTGAACCTCAGGACCCTCGGGGAAGCCCACACACCAGTCTCCATCTCTAGCAGCAAAGCCAGTGGTTCTCAAAGCTTCCCCCGAGAGCTGCTTTGAACCCTGCAGCCGCCTCCAAAGATCAAGACCTGTTTTTCCCTTCCACTCTCCAGACCTCGCCCTAGTGCCCCTCTCTCATTGGCAGACTCCAGCCCAGAACCGGGCAGACAAGGGGCTTCTGGAAACTATTGTTTCTGGCTTTGCTGCAACGTCGGGGGGACCTTAGAAGGAGGTGGTGGTCATGCTGAATTGGCAAAAGATAATGTAGCACACAGGTCTAGGCGGCAGGATCGAGCTGAGCTTTATCATATCAGTAAGATGGTGCTTCACAGCCCAGATGCTGTAGTTTTTGTGGGCTGTATGCCCTCTATCTTTACTCCTGGAATGATGGCATTCAGGTCCCTATCAGGCACCCGATGCCACCTATCCAGTAGACCGCATATGACAATGATCCTGCAGTTCATGGCAAGCCCACACAGAGGTGTTACTCGGCGGAAAATGCTTCACATCCCACCCTGCCAAGGCCCTGATGAGTGAGGTGTTTGTTGCAGGGTTTTTTGCAGTGCTGCCTCTCTGAGACTCCTAGACAACATCTTTACTTGGAACCCTCTGCCCAGGGTCCCAGAGCAAATGGCAGGGAAGACCAGGGCAGAGCAGAGGTGGCAGATGTGTGGCCTTTAACACTGTCATGCCTCCTACAGAGAACGCATGCGCTGACAAGTGTCACCTTCTGCTAAATGACTTTCAGTGTCCATATACTCCCCACCCTCCAGAGACCACTGTCCCTTGGTCAGCCGATAACAATGCAAAGCTTAACACCCCCACGCAGCTACAACAACGGCAAAGCTTAACACAGGTCAATGGCAAAAACAGATGCTGGGGAGAAACACTGCGAATTGTTCGGCCAGCATCATCTCAGTGCTCTGACATTTAGCTGGCGACCCTGGGCCTAAAGCCACTGTTTGCGAAGGCTGAGGGGGTGGCACTTAAAGGCTGGATTACTTTTGGGGAAGACAGCATACTGAGAGTGTGGGTGTTAGGGTCTCAAGCCCACTGCCCGGGCTGGCAAGAAGAGGCAGCAGATGCCCCTTTGAAAGCCATGGCAGCCACGGTGTGTTTCTCTACCAGGCAGGCTGATGCGTGCCTCTATGGATTACGGAGCGAAGGATATCCCTCTTGCCAGCCCCTGTCCCCCGTAGGCATGGCAGAGAGGCTGTCCTTACCTTGGGAATTAGCCTGCAAGACCCCGATGCTGTCATCAAACTGCATAGATTTGATGTTGAGTGACGCCAAGATGCATTCCTTGTCCTGCAGCGAAGTGTCATCAATATTATTCTGATTGGCTGACAGGATAACGCACATGTCACAGAGGTTGATGTTGACGGCCCTTAAATCAGCCCGACTTAACGGCGTACCCTTTGGCATAGAGGAAAGAGAGAAAAAAAAAGGAGAAGCAAAAGGGAGACTGAGGGACAAGAGGGAAAGAGGGGGGTAGGAGAATAAAAACAAATTAAAGATTGAGCTGGAGCTTTGGGAAATTATTTAACAAGCATCTTTTTTATGCCTTGACATTAAGCTGGCCTAACTACATTCAAGGGAATAGGAGCTGTGTGCTAATCTAAAGGGTAGTCGGGGCTGATGGCAGCATTTTAGGGTTGCTCTCGATACTCAATCAAGCTATTACTAACTAACGAGGGAGAGGAATTATGCCATGCTTCTATACCTTCTTCCTGCCTGGAAATTGTCTTGATTTAAGTAACTGTCCTGTGGCAACCTCTGGCTTTCAGAATGTAACGAGGGGGTGGCTTTCAAATGCCTGTTTATTTAATAGCAGGTCACTTCTGTCTCAGGCAAAAAGACAGCAGCTCCAACTAGAGTTCCCAAGGCAGCCAAGAGGAAATAGCCAGGGAGCACGGTGTGATGAGGTGGGGCTGAATTTGGAGGATGTGGGAGCGAGTGGAATTAATGTGCATCTTGCAAAGGGGATATGGAAAGGGGTGAAGCTTCAGGTATATGACTTGAATGCATATTTCCAGCAAGAGAAAAACAAGGAAATCACCTAACTGTCCAAGAACAGAGGCATGGTTAAATACACTATCAGATATATATACAATGGAAGTCTATGTGGCAGGTAAAGGGATTGAAAGACCTCTCCGTGTAGGTACTGCCTTGGAAGCATCTCAAGACAGAGGAGCAAGTGAAACAATAAACAAACAAAAAAAGTTCTAGACAATTCAAAAAGTATGATTTCATTTATGTAAAAAGAAACCCACAGAATAGAACTATATATGTATGAATGTATTTATAAATGTACGCATACTCAGAGAGAAAGTTCAGGAAAAGTACACACTAAACTAATAACTGTAATTACCCCTGCGGAGGGAAATAAGATTGGGGGTGAAGGAAAAGTTTGCTTTTGACTTGATATACATCTGCTTTGTTTGAATATTTTATAACAAGAACATACTTGTATATTACCGGAGTAATTAAAAATAAATAAGCCAGTAAACAGGTTTTTTAAAAAAAAATCCCATAACAAACAAAAAACGGTGGAAAAAAATCCCCAGATCAAGGAGGTAATGACAGAGGCCAGGAATGCAGCCACTGGTAAAATAGAAGGGTTAGGACTGGAGAAGAGGGGCATGACCCCCACCTGCTCTGTGTCCTGGTGGGGTGGGGACCAGAGAAGAGCTCATCAGGCCATCCCACGTGATAGGGCCGCAAGGGCATCATTTTGGAGTTCACTGCCAGCCACCAGCCTCCTTGATCCTCCAACCTGAATCCAGCTTCTGAATTGCCTTCATGGAGACCTGAGCTGTCTTCAGCTCACTGACCGTGTAGGGCGAGGGTCTGTCAACTGCCTA